GGCTTGCGAGTCAATTTGAAATTGAAGTTATACTCGGTGTGCATTGTGCTTATAATTTTGCCTATGTATGTTTTGGGATTGTCATTGTGTATGTGATGAACCCGCGTATGTATGTATCTATATAGCGATTCAATGAGTTTGCTTCTCCAGAGTTCAAACCAATTCAAGACGTTGTAACTTGACACAAAGGTAGCTCGACATTGACTCACTCAGTGATCTACCATTCTGGCCGCGGATGCCAATTCTATACTGAGGCTCTTGCTTGGTCTCGATTAAAGCACTGTCAATGGTGAACATGTATCTCAGCTCCGTGTAAATCCAAGCAGACCAATACCAAGAACTGGACAGATATTGCAACATATGAACAGCAAGACTGGTACCACAAATGATCTGGCACCTCGAGAGTCAGAACTGTCGACGATGAAACGCTAGTGCAGCTGTGACATGACGCATGTAGAATGATGGTGAAAGCATTTACTTCAATTGAGTCGAATTCATGTAGAGCGGTGGGAGCGGCTGTATGTGTGGCGTGGCGCGGGTGGAGGCATTCTGAGGCTACATATATACTTTTATAGAAGAGTGAATGGATATCAACCACAGGTGTAAATTATCGGATCGAACTAGAAGCGAGTCTGTGTATTACCCCTGCGAGAAAAGCTCGTTAGAAAGAATCCAACGAAGAAAAAAAGCAAGTCAACCAACCTATTAACAGTCGCAAACTCATGCATTTTCCTCTTCATCTTCACCGCCTCACTTGCAACTCCCTCGACGATATTGATCATCTCCCTCGCCATCCTCTCCTCAATCGACCTCCCCGGTCTCGCTCTACTCGCGTCCTTGATATGTTTCAACGCATAATACATCCTCTTCTTCTCTGACAGCGCGGTAGGCTTGAACGTCGTCTTGCCTCCACTTCTGTGGCTTACCGTCCTCACCGCGGGCGCTGCAACCAGAACCGCCTGCCTGAGTATAGGGAGCGGCGGTGCACGGGTCCATGCGTGTATGTGGAGGAGGATATTGGAGACAATGCGGGAGGCACGCGCACGATGGCCGTGCCGCATGAGATGGGAGGTCACGTAGTACAGAAGGGGGTCCTCAGCGGGAGGTATGTCCATTATTGTTGGCGTGGTCGGCCTGGGGATAGAGGGAACGCTGGGGGTTTGCATCATGGCCCTGGCCTGCCCGAGCTCATCCATGGCGAGATCGAGGGTGGCCTGGTCACGAGAGGCGGCGGCGGCGGCGAAAGCACGGGCCGTCGTCGTCGTCGTCGTCGTCGTGGGCAGCCATCTGCGTGCTGTGAGGCGCAGTGAGGGCAGTATTGAGGGCAGCATTGAGGGCGTCGGCATTCGGAGGAAATTTCCTACGAGATTTTGAAGTTCCGCTTGTGGACGACGCGTTCTTTGCCGCCATGATCAACGTAACAAGACGTGCTCGAGTCCGACTAGGCATGCTTCGTATACATGCGCCGCTGTGAGGGGAGTGTGAGATTGAACTCGGAGAAGAGACGACGGCACGCGATGACAGTCAAAGTTCTTGAGTGAAGATTCTGTAAACCGAACAAACGAAAAGGCGAGTTCTCCAAGATACCCATGCATTGATTACAGCACAATATCGCTTTTCGACAAAATGTAAGTTACTATAGACAAAGTGATACTACTACATCGTGGCACATGCGATTTGCGCCAAAATCGCTATCTACTGGTTCAACCTCGTCGCTGCGTATTTGAAATCCTAAACGTTCGTTTGTCGCCCTACCACTGCTAGATCTGAACTTTACTGACTCTATAAGTAGAAGTCGAATCATTTTGTACGAATGCGAGTAAGGAGCACCCTAGCCAACTACCGTAAGGTCTTTGGATCATGGCATCACAGCAAGTTCCTCTAAGGGCCACAAGTCACACATAGCTGTGAGAAGAGAGAAATATGAAAAATCAGGGATGTGATACCTAGGTACTAGCGGAGCTTGTACAGCAGTCTCGTAAACCACTACCACTACCATGTCCCGTATACGCACAAGCAAGCCTGATTTCTACGGCAAAGGCGCAGGCGAAGTCGTTTCCGCAGCTCCTGGTGAGAATGCTATCTGCAGAAACACGCTCTCAGTCGATGGTCTGGTCACGCAGCGTGTACGATATCATTTCATATGCTGCCAGGACCCATGGCTCTAGGAAAGCCCTCTGATGGGGAGATATCATCAATATTGTCGAGAAAGAGAAGGACGTGATCAAGGTCGCAAACGGCAAGGAGAAAAAGAAATGAAAGTAGTCCCAGCTCAGCGACTAGTACAAATACTTGTAAAAGAGATCGTCTCGGGAATTGCTCGCGGTCTTGTTAAACTTGGTATCATCAAAAGAAAACATCTCCAATATTTATGCTCAACCCAGCTTCGTTCATTCGTTTTGCCATGTATGGGCCTCATTTCAATCGTATTACAGCCCAGCTGGCAATTGGTTTCGCACTGAATCTCTACCACGATCGCAACGCTCTGGGCGAAGGATGGCTTGCTACACTCTTTGAACAAGCCTGACTGTATCGGCATCTTCACCAATGCCGACTTGTTCCCCACGGGTGCAAAAAGTCCTAGTCAACACGCTCACCGTTAAATACGTCCTGTGTGACGGTAAAGTCAAACCCACAGTGAGTTGTGCGACAGATTCGTTCTATTCGTGATGTCAAGGTCTATACCATCGACGATTTACGCGAGCTTGGCAAAAGCAAACCTACGTTGGCACTGGCTTGCATTATGACACCAGTGACAGTACTGGTAACGTCAAGGGCGTCTCAATCACTCACGGCAACCTCATAGCATCCGTAGGCGCTGTGTACGTGAACGAAGCGCTTGCTGAGCTATCGTGCTTTCTCAACCCAGTACTCCATCCATCTCGTCCTCTTCCACCTCGATTCCTTCATCTTTCTCCTCGTCTTCCCCTAGCCCCACCACAAAGCCACCGTAACAAGCCAAAATACAAAAACTGATGAAAGAGCGTTCTAGGAGGAAATGTTCAGGCAATATGTCTGCATCAATCGCATTTGCGTTTGAGTACATGAAATGATGGACATGAACATGAGCATGGGAACGGGAAGAAGAAACAATTATACCTGGACAGGGTTACGACAAGGAGAAAAATCCGGGGAACATTGGTAGGCTGAGAGAGATGCAGGGAGGTAACGAAGTATTAGATGATGGTATATTCCGGGTAGGAGTTATTTCTTGTCACAAGGGCGCAGTGATGAGATTTGGAGGTCCACTTCTGAAGCTTGATGCACCCATTTCAGCTATCCGTCAGTGTGTCTGTTTTATTTATATTCTCTAGTTACTATTGAGGGAGGCAACTGGTGCTTCTTATCAATCCACATTCATATGTTCTTTAGCAGAGGTTGACATTTGACAAATTGAAGGGTATGTATAACATATATACGTTGTACCGTCTTAATTTACTTAGATATGTAATGCCATTTGCAACGTGCATATGGGACTTGTTGAACTTCTTCGAGTTTGTATATCCAATGCCTCAGGGGTCCATGCATCGTTTCTTCGTTGAACGGTTGTTTTAGATATAGCGTTTTCGAAAGTTAGAAGAAGGGAGTTATTGCGCTGGAATTGAGCTTATTTCAAAATAATTGAGATGAAAATCTCTGGACTAGAAACATATTTATAGAGCAACAAGGGAGTAAGATTCGCAAGACTACAAGGGAATAAGCTATACAAGACTATAGAAACGAAAGACTGCAGAGAGAGGGCTCGCATTTAATGGTCATAGTGGCCGTGGTGGTGATGACCGTGGTGGTGATGACCGTGGTGATGATGTCCATGATGTCCGTGATGCCCGTTGTCGTGATAACCATGATGATCGCGCTGCTCCACATCCCTCTTCCAGTTCGAGCCATAATAATCATCATCGCAGTCCCAATCATTGTCTCCCCAATTATCCCAATCGTTGCCGCCCCACCAATTGCCTCCTCCATTTCCTCCATTGCCACCATTACCGCCGTTGCCGCCATTGCCGCCGTTACCACCCCAGCTACCACTACCGCCATTTCCCCCGTTTCCACCTCTGCCGCCATTGCCACCATTTGCGCCGTCGCGGCGGCTATACCAGTGGTAAGGACGGCGATGTCCGGGACCTTGCCACCAGTGGTGGGGACGGTGGTGTCCGGGACCTCTCCATATGGGATGGTGAGGCCTGAACCATGTGGGGTGCTTGTAGCGGTGCTCGCCCCAATAGTGATTGTTGTAAGGTAAATCACGCTATGGATAATAGTTTGGTTTCAGTTGTAGAAGATGAAGAAGGAAATTACTAACCTCATCCAGGGAGTTGACCTCGGAGGTAGCGCTAACCTCGTCCAAGGCGTTGGCCTCGGTGGTAGGAGCAGCAAAGGCCGGTGCGATGAGCGCCACTTGTGCAAAGACAGCGGTGAGTGCGAGGACGGAGAATTTCATTACAGACGATGTCAAGTGCGGTATGTGGTTGTGCTGTTGAATCCAAAATCAAAGTGGATCGGAATGCAGACGCTCAGCCCTCAACATGGGGTTTTTATGTCTTTTAGCTGTTCAGAGGGGCTAGAGACATATTTGGAAAGCGCCACAGTAATTCTTGGGTGTGGTGGCGAAGACATAGCTCCTTTGATGACAAGGAGTCATGATCGACCCACTTGAAACGAAAAGGAGGTCAACAAGGTGCGTCATCGCGAAATCGAGAATCAAATGGATGTGGATTCTTTGCAAGCAGCCTCCTATAAGCATTAGGACACATTGTATGTAAGGGGCTATGACGATGTGGTTGTTGAAGGTGACAAAGTTGCATGACAAAATCATTATCGACAAGGAGTATCGCTGATTAGTTATGCGGGTGCCAAGCAGTTCGATGCAGCCCGGTGACCACGCCCTATTAGGAGTCAAATGTCAAAGATCGATACCATAAGATGGCAAGTGGAGTTCCAGTCCCGTATTTACGCACCACAAGAGGCAAAAGTAAAAATTTATGGCAAATCACATGTAGTTCCCTCTAGCCGACTTGAACGACTGACCTCGTCATAAACCACTGTTATACTAGTGACGCGCTCTACCACTGAGCTAAGAGGGATAGTTATTAAATTAGCCACCAGATAAACAGTTCCAGCCACTCGCAGCGAGAGCTGGTTCGAAGAAAGTTCCGATCAACAACACGAGTGTATAATAGAGAAAAATGAGATCGCTCGAGAGATTCGCTCGAGAGATCTGTCCGCAAAATACGTCGTGCCAATCCCAAGGGAAATTGTTGTCAGTGACAGTAACTCACCTAGAGGGAGATGGAAGTAAAAGGTTCAAGTTCAGTACTTGAAAACGCGCTTCAAGGCATCGTCACGACCTTCTTCATTGGTTCTTCATCGGTTCGGTAAGTACTTTGTCTCAACTGCGACAAGTTGCGATATTTAGTACACTAATTTAAAGGCATGGCGTCCCAAATTTTGCGGAATGCCATGCTTGCATCATGGCCAGATACTCCGTGGCATTGTCCCATTTGTTCATCCTGGTCAACATCGCCGCCGCCTTCGAAAGCCAAAAAAAGTATGCAGAGAGTGACTCCAGATTAGCATCTTCGATCTCCTTGATATGTCGAAGGCTATCCTGCAACAACTTCTCCAGAGGCTCTGTCTCTTCGATGCTATACTGAAGGATCCTGGAAAGGAGTGCGTCGCAATTTGGATTAGTGCAGAATTTACACGCGCAGTCGAATCCATAGGGCCGAAGCTTCTCCTGACGTTTGACTTTGAGCAGAGACATGTCAACATAGGACATTAAAAGCTCTTCTCCCGCCTTAATGGGTCGGATAGCGTGCAATCGCAGGGAAAAGGACGCGGTATCAAAATGGCGCGTTACATTGGGAGCGCAACTACGGTGAAATGTCGTCAGGATTAGCCGGAAAGCGCAGGATCTTGCACGAACCTATGATTGATTCGAGACATGGTCTGAAAAATCCCAGAAAAGTCAAGCGGGTCGTCTTTTCCAAGTTTTGACGGTTCGGTCAAGATTCTTATACTTATACCATTCGTCCTTACTATCCCTAGGATTGGACCAGGGTCGTCTTTGGTATGACAGTTATGGAGCTCGAAGAACGCAGTACGATTATCAGGCAGCATCCTGTCGACACAGACTTTCAGAAGCGCTTCCATTGCCTCTACTGGAGGAGGCTGTGCGTGCCCGGCTTTCGTGAAAACCACGTTCAAGTCCCTCTGTGGAACGACCAACAAGGGGCGCTCGGCGAGTATGAGATCACTCGGCGCAAGATCTCGTGTAGCAAACATGCCCATACCATGAGCCGATGAGCTGATGCGGTAACAGGTTTGTGGTGGCTTAGGGACGGACGCGGGAAACTGAGGAAATGATGATAATATGCGTATCTCCTTCTCCCCTTGAAAGAGTCATTCAGACCAGGTGTTGCGACCATCCGTGAGTTCATCATTTGGAGAGGGATGTACGGTCTTGAATATGATATCTCCGGTATTGTATAATTTGTCTTCCTTTACCTTCGAATCGCAGACGGCTACCTGATGGTCCCGAATGACATAGTCCTTTGGTGCGCTGTTTTTCGGCAAATACTCTTAGACATGGAAAGGATCAGAGTTATACCGAAGTTGTTACTTGGGGGCATCCGACTTTTCTGCGGGCAGTTTGACGACAACCTGGCCTGATCCTGTAAAAAATCAGGAATTAGTAAACGAGTTATCACGTTGAGGAGAGAAAATACCTAGCTGAGCAAGATCAAGAGCAACAGCTGGATGAGTGCCTTTGATATCTGCTAGTTCAAATTTCCCAACGTCTTTTACAGAGCCCGTCAGCTGCAATGTGAGATGTTCATGATGATCGATGATACCTAGACTCGGACAAGTACCCGGGCCACAAGGGTCGTTAGTTGGCTTGGTTACCAGCGTCGGTTTTCTTGCCTTTCCTGTATTCAAAAATCCCCTCTTCATGGTAGAAACAAGGCGATAACTGGAAAGAATTGATCATGGCCAGAGCATATCCAGGATACTTAAATACCATTGACACTGGCAGCTGTCCACGAAGGAAATTTGATCATTCTGGACAAGCCCATCACAAGTCAAAAGAAGCCAAGAAGCGGCCATACTATATAACGTATATACGAAGCGGCCTGTGCCAGTGAAGTTCTTTGTACCTCAAATTCGACATGTATCCGCACCGAAAGTTCGAAACCCAACCATGGTTTTGTCTCCGTGATTTGAGAACCTACCGCCAAATATCTTCAGAATTGGAGAGGGCTTTCCATGAAACGTGGAATACTAGACCGGTGGATCCCTCTACGAAGGCAAGTTCGGAATGCTTGTCTCATTTTGACGAATAGTTACGAGGTGGTCACGAGTCTAACTGACTACAAACTTCGCAAGTTGCAACCCTTTGTTGCATTTCTTCCTCCCAGTCATGGTGTATATGTTGGGTAATCGCGTTCACTCGGATTTCCTCATCTCTGTGCCATTCAGTCGAAGTCCCTTACAAAGACGATATCCAAGTTTTGCTACCGACCATCACAACTGCTGAACAGGAATTTGCTGCATTCTCATGATCGACTACAATACGGTTAAATCGGTCGGGATAACGATACTTATTGTCTGATTGGAAATGCTTTCCCCGAATGATGTCCAGTTCGGCTTGCCGGATTTGGGGAGATGGCGCCCAGTCTATAGCACTACGTCAACCCCTTCAAATTGACGCCTACATATCAAGGACTGATCTAAGATCTAACGGTTAATTTTGTTAAAGCTAATCCCCACGATCCTTTCGATAGAAGTTATCTTATCACCATAGATTGGAAGTTGGACGACAATGTGATTTCGCTGATAGAATATTCTATTATTTCCGTATTTGCATTCCAGTTGTCGCGCGCCAAGCTCCGTTGTTACGGCCTCATGACTGAACAACGATATATCAGGAAAGGAGAAAGCTCAAACACTCCCACGTAATCGAGGCCCATGGTATATAACAGCGCTTGGGTGGGTATTATCTCACTGTACAACGAACTCTTGAGTAATCATCATGGCTCAGACTGTTGCGAACTCTAAAGCGTATCCTACTTTGATTGAGGTATGTTGGAAGTGATAGATATTGATATTAGGAGTAATGCGCGATAAACCTTGGTCAGGTTGATCCCTTTGTGTAAGTTGTGTCTCTCGACCAAAAGCTTTACCTAACTTATAGGGCAAATCCAAGTATCGCAGAGAACCAAAAGGTACGGCGGGCGACCTTTGGCTCGTTATTTCATATTCGAACACTATTATCTAGGGTCTCCATAATCGTTGGCAGTATGTCGACTGTGTAGCATGCTTTTGATACCTTTCAAAGTTGACGCGTCCATGTGAAGCCCAGATATTCCTGCTTACGTGACGGTAAATCCCGGTGAGGTGAAAGTGTTCCCTCGTTCAAGACATGATCTCCGTGAACTTGACTCCCTGTTGACGCAACCCTAGATCTTCAAGGTTCAATGCGTCGGTGAGCGACACCTCAAACACATCCTTTTGACTAGCAGCTGAGTGCTATCGTTCCCTCGCAGACTGGACGGGAGGTCAAATTGGTAACAATGACTGTGTGTCTTTCTTGACACTTTCTTTCGACTTGATTGATTCATGATACCCGGATTCGCAGATGCTGATGACGTCCGGGACGTCGACCTGCATAAAGTACATAACCTCTCCGGTCCAATTGGAGTAGAGGGTGCTGAGCCAGGAGACTGCCTTGTCGTCGAAATTCTTGACGGTGAGTGTCGCTCGGACACCAACAGGAACCCAATAGACTGATTTGAACTAGTCAACTATTTTGAGAAGATGCCATGGGGATTCACTGGTATTTTTGAGCTTGAGAATGGTGGCGGCCTCTTTGGTAAGCCTCCATTCCATACTTGTCATCTCCGTGCAAAATTGCAACCAATGCATAGCCACGGAATTCAATAGTCACGCTGCCAAAGCCATCTGGGATATGGAAGGTATCTATGCCACTTCGAGGCACATCCCTGGCGTACGCTTCGCCGGGATCACTCATCCCGGCATCATCGGCACTGCGCCCTCCGCTGAGCTGCTCGCGAAATGGAATGAACGTGAAACCGGCCTAATCGCGCAGCATGCTGACTCCGTTCCCCCTGTCGCGTATGCCCCCGATCCTCAGGGTGCATACATTGGCCAAGATCTTCCTGAGGAGTTGAGAGCCCAGATTGCGAGCGAGGGTGCAAGGACTATTCCCGGGCGTGAGCATGGTGGTAATTGTGATGTACGCCTCCGCGTCCTGGTTGTGGGTAGTAATCGCTCAAAGCCTATAGATTAAAAATCTTTCAAAGTATGCTCAGCCTCGTGGATTTGAAGCTTGCTTGCTTTCTTAATCGTCAACCAGGGGTTCGAGGGTATACCTACCAGTCTTTGTCCCCGGAGCCAACTTTTCGGTCGGAGATTTGCACTTTTCTCAAGGTGATGTGAGGTCCATTCCTCGTGCATCGTTGGGACTCATCGCCTGATGCTTCATCTTCCAGGGCGAGATGGCATTTTGCGGAGCTATAGAGATGGCTGGAATCGTAACGTTGAGGACTAGCATCATTAAGGGCGGTGTTGAAAAGTTCGAGTTGATGAATCCCATATTCTTGGTATAACTCTGACACCTCAACTGGTTGCCTATCATTAACCTGATCCGCTGCAGCCCTCTCCTGTCGACCCTAAGTACGCCCAACAGGTTGTGTTTGAGGGTATCAGTGTCGACGTCCACGGAGATGGAAAGCAGTACAACATGGATGCGACGGTTGCATATAAACAGGCTGCACTGAACGCTATTACCTACCTTGGCAAGGTTAGCCAATCACCGTGATCTCGCTGAGAGAGGGATACTGACAAATCATGTAGATTGGCTACAGTGAGATCCTTTCACACCTTTACAACATTTGGTAGAAGGATAATAACCATTATTGTTTTAGCGCGTGAACAAGCCTATCTGCTCCTTTCCGCAGCACCCATTGAAAGCCACGTCGGCGCCGTCGTCGACTCACCGAACGCCTGCGTAACACTAGGCATACCTACTGCAATATTTGATCGGGTATCGTTCTATTCTTGT